GTCAGTATTCCTTTGGATAGAATTGGGGTCTGCTGTTCATTTTTCCAGTAGTATGTTGGGTTACTGTCTGGAAGAGCCTTTATCCATGCTGGCCAAGAACTCGATTGAAGGTATCGCCTGTCTGGCTTTGTTGTTTGTCAAGTAACTTTTAGTTATATGTATGTGTGCTCTTATGAAATTATATTGGCCCCTTTAATCTTTGGTTATACTTCCCTTTTGGGTGTTTAAGGACATACCATTGGACCAGATAAACTGATTTGTTTTCACTCTTGAGGTCGTTTGAGGATCTGTTCCTCAGGGGTCCCGTGGGCTTGACTTCTACTAGAGGCTTATTAGAGATAGAATATTCTGAAATATTTAGGAGCAAAAAGGAATTGACTTTATTGAGTCCTCTGAATTTCTTGGTGGGGGATAATAACAGCTAGTGGGTACCAATACTTTATCCTACATCAGAATCATCAGTTTGGCCACTGGTATTGGTGCTGCAGGTAGGCAGGGCCACACGTTCAGCATCTTTCATTATTCATGTTATTTGAAGTGCTAGGACTCAAACCCAATGCTAGGCAGGTTCTCACTGAGCTACACCCCCACTCTCTAGGTACATTTGAATAGTGCACAACCCACATCTGCTTCTTTTTAAATTCAAAGAGGGTGTATAGCTGCCACCTCCAATTCTAAAGAAGATTATTAAGTGGGCTGAAGATATTGCTCAGTGGTTAAGAGCACCAGCTGCTCTTGCAGAGGACCCAGGTTTAGTTCCCAGAATCCACATCAGCTAACAACTGACCATAACTCTAGTTCCATGGAATCTGACACCCTCTCCTGGCCTTGACAGGCATTGCAGAACATGGGTGCACTTACATACATGCAGGCAATACACTCATACACATAAAATAATAAAAAAATAAATAAAATATTTTTAAAAGAGGTTTATTAAAATATCCCTCAAATGTAGCAGACATCCTGCAGAACATGGTTGATATTCCAAGTGCTATAACTGGTGGTCTCTGTTCATATCTTATCCCTGCCTCTCCCTAGGCATGCTCTCTATGCTGAATTCTGCTGCACCATTTCAGTGATCTTTTCATTCTCATTTGTCCTAGGAACTTTGTCTTCTTAAATTTTATTCTGTGTTTATATGAGAAATCAAGTGGACTGTCAGGAGTTGTCAGAGCTCAGGATTATTGAAATGATTAAGTGCAGCAATCCTTCCCCACACAAAAAGAATGCCAGTTTCTCCATTTCACTTATACTTCAACACTTGAGTAGCTTATTTTGGCAAATTTATTTAGTTCATTGATCATAATCACTCTAATTTGTCTTTTCTGCTTATCTTTGGAAGGTATACCTGGAATTTCAGGACCAAAAGGCTTCCAGGGTTTGCCTGGAGACCCAGGGCAACCTGGACTGATTGGACAACCTGGGTCACGAGGACTTCCAGGTAGGTAAGATAGAGCACTGTGCCATTTGGATGGCTGACACTGAATCCTGAAAATCTAATTGTGTTCATTGTGTTTAATGATGTTTGGATCAGGTTATGAGAATAACTACTGAAATGTCGAGTTAATCCTGGACATAATTGTTGCCATTTGTCCCAAGTTTCGACAGACAGGCTATTCGGGATATTTTACTTTGCTTATTCAGCTTATTTTGCTTGCAATAGGGAATATGAAGAACTATTATTCAAGGTGCTATGTGTTATTACATACATTATAACATACATAAATGAGACAAATATCTGGTAACACCCTGAATAATTTACCTGTTTCATTTCTTGGGCCTCAGACAAGTCAGTCATTCAGCTGTGTAAATTAGCTGTTTAAAATTTTTGTAGGGGTGAATATTTCACAGGTTACCTTGGTGGTCTATTACAGCATTAAATGTTCTTAAAATGAACAGTGTTTTTCTTACTTTTTGTCTGATTTCTCTTCAAAGTTTCTTGCTGCTTCTTAAGTTATTCTATTTTAGTTTGATCCCTAAAAAAATAAAGAAAAACTAGCATCTCATCCTATTCGAAGAGCCCTGAATTCAATATCTGCTGTGCAATTCACACCATATTACCTTGATGTTGTCAGAAAGATGAATTCTCCACAGGCTTCTTCCTAACATTATTTTTGAATTCTCCTCCCATAGTTGGAAGTCACTGTGATAGAAAAAGGAAAAATACATTTAAGGTAACACTGGCAAATACATAGATGACATCACACAGCTCAGGTACCTATGATATTTTAAGTAGAATTTGCAAATATAGCTAGGTCAATCGAGTACCTCTCCATCAGTGCAGAAACCCTTATCTCCCTCCAGTCTAATGTACTAGAGCTGTGTCATGACAGATTGCCACCTTTGTTCTTCCTAGTCTCATATAGTCATCATTTACATTGGAAAACCACTGCTCAGGGATTTTTAAGTCTCAAATACTGGATTTCTCTCTTCAAAATATAATAAGGGTATGACATACTGAGGCTTTGCCAGACTCTGTGAGGGAGGTTAGGGAACAAATTTCCAGACCTTGAGCAACAAAATAAAAACCTATTTGGATCCCTGCCTGCTGCCTTTTCCCTGTATCATTAGAGTTGGCCTCTTGCCTCATTCTGGGGTGTGTGTGTGTGTGTGTGTGTGTGTGTGTGTGTGTGTGTGCAAAAAGTAGAACGTCAAGTGAGTGGAATTGTTTTAAAGAAGAAACAAGCTCCTCAAGTAAAAGTTTATTTTTGTGAAGTTGTATTAAAAGATATATACTTGCATAATTATATTGCAAATGTTACCAAAGACATTTCTGAGGTACTCCTTACCTGTTTCACACTGAATTATATCTGTGGACTCTAATACAATGAGATTTCTCCTTCTAACCCTTCTTTGTTTTAATTTTACCAATATGACTTTTCTAGGTCCCAAGGGTAACCCTGGTCTTCCTGGCCCACAAGGACTTAAAGGACCTCCTGGGCTTAAAGGAAACATTGGTGATATGGGATATCCAGGTGAGTGATAAAAAATTCACAAATATTTAGTTCTATTAATGCTCATTATTCATTGTATAAATTGTTTTGAGACAAGGTCTCATGCAGCCCAGGCTGGCCTCAAACTTGCTATGTAGCTGAGGATGATCATGACCTTGTGGTTCGCTGTCTCCCAAATACTGGGAAGATAAATGTGTGCCACCATGCCTGGTATAGATGCTGCTGGAGATCAAACCTCTTTTTGCACGCAAGGCAAGCACTCTGCCAGCTGAACTACATCCCCATCACTATAATCTTTGAGGTGTTTTTTTTATTATTATTATTTTAAATCAGAAAAGACAAGTATAGATGCTGGCAATGTAGCTAAGCAACAAAGTGCAGCACTTGAGAAAGAAAGAGTGGAAGGGTGGAGCTAGTGTTTATAGAATCAGAGTGACAAAAATCTCTAAATAACCAATGTGTAGAACACTCATAACAAGGCTACAGTGTAGGACACATGCTATTCTAATGTGTTTCTCCATTGCTATGACAAAAGATTCTGACAATACCAACTTGGGGAGGAAAGTGTTTATTTGGCTTACATCTCCAGTGTCACAGTTCATCACTTGAGGGAACCCAAGATAGGAACTCAGGGCAGGAACCCGAAGGCAGCAGCTGGAGCACAGGCCGTGGAGAAACCCTGCTTACTGGCTTGCTCTCTATGAGACTGTCCCCCATAGGCTCCAAGCGTTTGGACATTTTGTCCCTAGTTGGTGGCACTGTTTTGGGAGGTCTTAGAAGCTGTGTGGCCATACTGGAGGAAGCATATCACTGGAGGTGGATTTAGAGAGTTCTTAAGCCTTGCTGGATCTCCAGTTACTCTCTTGCTTCTGAGCCTGCTTGAAGATGTGAGCTCTCTGCTTTCTGCTGCTGCTCCAGCCACCTCCTGCCACCGTGCCTCCCCACCATGACAGACGTTAGTTCCCCTGGAACCATACGATCAAATAAACTCCTCTTTCTATAAGTTGCTTTGGTCAGTATTTATATCACAGTAACAGAAAAGTAATACATATATTGAGGGCTATGTGGGGGCACAAATCAGACTCTCTATAAGCCATATTTTATATATAGTGAACTACGTTGAATTGGGTAGGGGGCCATGAAGGGAGGTGTGGATGGGGAGAGGTTCTAAATATCCAATTATATTGTATGAAAATTGCAAAAATTCAATAAATATTAAAAAAATATTTAAAGTGTTAAGGGACAGGTCTTTAAGAACTTCCAAGCAGTTAGAATTTAAGAAGTTAAAATTCACAAACATTATCTTTGGCTGTATCCCTTTCATTTAAATGTCCTTGAAAATTGGCTTTTCTGTAATCCTGTGTGCTAAGTTCATTATTATATACACAGTTTACAGAGCTTAAAACTGATTTTTGCTTGGTCATGTACAACTTAGATTTGCAAGAGGTGAAGGCTATTTTATCAAATATTATACATTACATATTTTCAATAGGCCCTCAAGGTGTGGATGGGCCTCCTGGACCTCCTGGACTTCCTGGACAACCTGGCTCCCCAGGATTACCTGGACAGAAAGGGAATAAAGGTGATCCTGGCATTTCTGGCATTGGCCTTCCCGGTCTTCCTGGTCCAAAGGTAATCTCATGCTCTCATGTTTTATAACAGATGTGATTATTCCTTAACTATATTCATTACTAATTCTTTATTAAATAAACTCTAACATGACAAGGTATGTTCTGGGCAAGAAATTTTTGGTTTCTTTATTTTTACTATCCATCTAAACATGTTTTAGTAAATCAAAGGCATATTTTTGCCTGGTTTGATTCTCCCATTTTAGTAATGTAATTCTGATCTTTTGCCTATTAATAATTAATTAGAAAAGATTCATAAAGTGACTTTAACAGTGAATGAAAGCAAAATAGTTTTCTCTCTCTCTCTCTCTCTCTCTCTCTCTGTTTTTCTTGAGATAGGATCTTCCTGTAGCCCCAGCTGGCCTAGAACTCACTATGTAGAGGAGGATGGCCTTGATCTCATAGAGATCTTCATGCCTCCGCCTGAGCGCTGGAACTACAGGTGCGAGCCACCATGCTTGACTAGTATTCTTAACTACGTTTCTGAGGTACTTCTCTGAATACAGTTTTAAATACTCCTGTACTCTAGTTGCTTTATTGATATTTCTCTAATAATCAAGTTTATAATTGTTAGCCAAGCATGATAGAATTTCAGAGCTGAGAGGCTAAGGCAGAAGGATTGTAAGTTTAAGGCCAGTCTGGGCTACACTGATACACTGAGAGAAATGTACAAAATATTTAAAACCATTAGACTTAACAAACATTTATTAACTGTTTTGTTCCATGTAAAAAGGTAGTAAGTCCCTTAAATATGCAGCGAGATCACAGAGTTAAGGTAAGGAGTATTAGTAAATGAATTATGGTACTTACTTTGCATGAGATTACTGAACATTCCCACTGAAATAAGAATTTAGCATATCTAAAACATAATAAATATAATCTGTATTAATGTCCAGAATATACACAGAACTCAAAAAACTAAACAACAAGAAATCAAACCATAACTCTTAAATATATGTAATGTGCCAGGCACTAGATACTGGAGGCAAATAGGTGAAACAGAGTCAATGCTCCTATGGTTCTTATAATTTAGTCAAGTAGATATTTATTAAACAAAATAAGTCTATAGTATGTTAGAAATTTATGCATTTCAAGAGGAAAACTAAAGCAAGGCTTAGGGCTAGAGACTGCTTGGTATTGTTACATTTCAAAGTAAGGTGGTATATGCAGCAGCCATACCACCTTGAATGCACCTGGTCTCAAAGTAAGTTAGTAAGGGAGAATCTGATGCTAATGGAGCAATGACCTCATTGCAGTGAGGAAGTGAGTCATGCAAAGCCCCCGAGGTAGGGGCATAGCTTATATGTTTGAGGAACATAAATGAGGCCAGTGTTGATGGAGCAGAATGAGTAAGGTAACACTAGACAGGAGATGAGGTCAAGCTGATAATAGGGAACAGATTATCTAGGGCCTTATCATTAGGGACTTATTTCTTAGTGAAAAGGAAAGCAAAATCATAGCATAATTGTACATTACCTCTAAAACTATATCAAACTACTTGCTTCAAAAGAGATAATAGAATTCAGGAATAAAAGCGCTTGGAACAGTTAACGATAGTGTTTACATAATATAAGGTAGAGATAACGATGGCTTAGATCAGGGAGGTGGCTGCAGAAATTATAAGAAATTATCTGATTCTGAACATATTTTACATGTCAAACCAGGAAGATTTGCTTTGGATATGAGAAAAATGGTGGTGTTAAGGATGACTCCAAAGATTTTTGTCCTGAACTACTATAAGATTTTAAAAGAAGAAAGTTTGGAGGAAAAGATAACGAACATAGTTTAGTTATGGTTCATATTTTCTTGATGAAATAAGAAATTCATCACTTGAGCAGGAAGAAGAAGAAGATTAGAGGCCTGAGTTACAGCCTTTTGAAAAAAAAAATTTTTCCTGTTTATGAAGATATCTAGGACTCAGGATGTAGTTCTCCAGCAGAATACTTGTGTTATATGAGTGAGATCTTGGGCCTGATCCCTATCATCAGACACAAAACAACACACCTATAACCTAAGATTATAATGATAAATCTGAATATCCTAAGATTATAAAGACAAATGTAAATATTACTTCTAGTATTTAAAAATTTCATCCATCTGATTTTTTGTGTTATATAAAATGAGGTTTTTTTTTTCAGATAAATCCTCAGTTGAGCCAATTTCATTTGTTACAAATTCCATTCTTTACACACCTCTTTAAAATTATATTTTTTAAATTTTTCTAAATTTGTTCATGTACATTGTTTTCTAGAATGAATTAACTTTAACATGCATATAGTAGATTAAAACTGCCATTATAAGCCGTCTCTCAATTTCTAATGGAAAGCAAAAAATGTTTGAATTGGCAAATATCCAAGGCACATTCAACTCTTAAAAGAATCATTTTTAAGGGCTGGAGAGATGGCTCAGTGGTTAAGAGCATGGACTGCTCTTGCAGAGGACCTGGGTTCGATTCCCAGCACCCATATGGCAGCTGACAACTGTCCATAACTCCAGTTCCAGGGGATCTGATACTCTTCTCTGACCTCCACGGGTACTACACAACGTGGGTGAACTTCCACACATGCAGACAATACACTCATACACATAAAATAAAAATAATTTTAAAAAGAATCATTTTTAGTCTTTTTTCATTTAGTTTATAGGTGTACTTCAGTAAGATGCTTATATGCATAAGGATGGAGTTGACAATTCACTTAAAAAAAAAAAAAAAAAAAAAAACTATCCCCAACAGCCCAATTCAAAAATAGGCAACAGACTTGAATAGACCTTTTTCCAAAAGTCATATACTAATTGCCAGTAAGTACATGAAAAGATAGTCAACATAACTATAAACATAAAACAGCACAGAAATGAGTATCTATAACACAAGGAGATATGTTATACCCATTAAGAAGATTGCTATAAATAATAGTAACTAGAGCTTGTAGGTGTAACGTAGTTGGTAGAATGCTTTCCTAACATACACAAAGCCCTGGGTTTGATCTTCAGCACTGCATAAAGTGTGCATGATTGCACATACCTTATTAATCACAGCACTCATGAGGTGGAGGCAGGAGGATGATAAATTCAACGCCATACTCCTTACATAGGAGGTTGGAGGAGAGCCTGGGGCTACTTGAGGCCCTGACTCAAAAAACAAAAAGTAAATAAAATGTGTTGGTGATAGGAATTTATGTGGAGAAAATGGAAATCTTGCGCATTTTTGGCAGAATGTAAAACGATGTAGACACTGTGGAAACTAGTATGACAGTTCCTCAAAAATTTTAACTTAGTTACCACAAGAGCTAGTTATACACCCGCAAAGAATCAAAAGCAGGGACTCAAACACAATTTATAGCCATGTTTATAACAGCATTATTCACAATAACACATTGGTATATTATTTAATGTTAATATATCATAATATTCTGAGAGATGTAACAATGAGGACTAATATGAAGATATTAAGTTGAATGTGCAAGTGACAAAAAGATGTATTGTGTGATCATTTTTATACCAGGTACCAAAAGTAGTTAAATTTTTAGAGATAGTAAGTAATGTAGTAATTTCTATAGTATTGTGAAGAGAGAAATGAGGAGCTATTGGTCAAATGGTACAGTTTTTTACAGTACTAAGATGAAGAATTTCTCTAAAGAAGATGCACAAAAGACTAATAAGTACATTGAAAGATATTCAACATCATTGATCATTACATAAATTCAAATTAAAACCACTTCCTACTCAATAAAGTAGCCACATTCAAGACAGAAAGCAATACATGGTGGAAAGGATGGGATGATACTGGAACACTTATAGATCGTGGGTGGAATTATAAAATGATGCAGCTGCTGTGAAAAAATATTCAGCAATGCCTCAAAAAGTTATAGTTATCATGTGACCTAGCAATTCCACTCCTAGGTATATATAACCAAGAGAAGTGAACTTTTGTCTCCCTATGGAAACTTATATGTAAGTGATCATAGCAACGGTATTCATAATAGTTAGAAAGTGGAACAAATCTAAAGGTGCATCAGTGGATGAATGACTAAACAAATCATGCTATATCCATATGATACCATATTATCGATGATTCCAAAGAATGAAGTACTGAGTTACATGGATGTGAAATAAGGCAGACACAAGACATTCATATTACTTGATTTCATTTACATAAAATATTCAGAATAGACAAACCTATATAAACAGCAGAATTAGTGTTGCCAGGGCCTGGAGTGATAAAGGTAATGGGGTATGACTACCATTGAATACAGCATCCTTTAGGATGAATTTATATTTTCTAAAATTTGATTGTGATGATAGTTGTCCAACTCTGTGCATATACTCTGAACATAGACTTGTATACGTTACACAAATGAAATGTATTATATGTAAATTACATCTCAATGGTTATTTAAATCCTTTGTTCCCATGGTAGAAATATCTGCTACAAAATTTCCATAACAACTTTTCCATTTGTTTTAAACTTACTTTAATAATTTCATAATACTTTAAGTTCTAGAATTCAGATATTTGATGAACAAATTTTTGTTGCTCTAAATTTTGAAGTTACTTAAACAACTTTATGTAACATGTTTATTGGAATTATGTATATGTTGTACTAACATGGAATGGAATTATTTTATGGCTTGTGTCTTCCTTAATATTTCTGTGACATTTTCACCCACTTTTGTCTACACTGATCTAGTATTTGGAGCAATATCCTTTTAAAAATATTTTTATTTTTAAATTGTGTGTATGCATGTGTGTCTGTGTGGGGGTATGTGCACTCAAGTGCAGTTGCCTTCAGTGGCCAGAAGAAGATATCAGATCCCCTGGATGTGGAGTTAATAGTTATGAACCATGACATGTTGGTGCTGGGAACTGAACTTACATGCTGTGCAGGAGCAGTACAGCCTGTTAAGTGCTGATCCGTTTCTTCAGCCTTTTGAGCAATATTCTTAATAATACTTTCTTTCAAGCCAGGAGTGGTGGTGTCCACCTTTGATCTGAGCGCTCGGGAGACAGAGGCATGCAAATCTCTGATTTTTGAGGCCAGCCTGGTCTACATACAGAGTTCTAAGTCAGCCAGAGCTATATAGTAAGGCCCTGTCTCAAAATAAATAAAAAATAGTATGTTCTTGAGTAGTAGAAATTAATATTGAAACCATTATCTCAAATGTAGCTCATAGTGTTTTTCACCTCACACACACACACATGTATTGGGTTTCATGTGGTAATATGTGGCCTGAGATAGCAGCCTTGCACTATTATCTATTAGTTTGTCCCTAGTTACTTGATACTGCACCAGCTAGGAGAGATTAATAATATGGGAAACCTGAAGATCTTATTGCTTACTGCTCTCTTGCTTATTTCATTAAAATGTCAATGGTTGCTCAGTGTGTCCAAAGCTTCACTTATCAAAGATGAGTAAGTTCTAGTAATCTGTAATATAATACAGTGCCTATAGTTAAAAATATTATTTGCCTTAAAATGTTAAGATGATTACTTTTATATTGTATATTTGTGGGGTTTGTTTTGGGGTTTTGTTTTGTTGCTTAGTTTGGGCATTGGCTTCTGTGGTTTTTGAGACTCACTTTGTATCTCAGAGTGGCCTAGAACTCACCAGATAGCCCAGGATGGCTCCAAACTCCAGATTTCTCCTACTTTATCTTCCCCAGTGCTGAGCTTTATAGGCATTATCACTACACCCAACATTTTTAAGCAGTCTTATTGCAACTTACACATAACAGATGCAGAAATTTTGGAGGTGATGAATATGTGTAATAATTTGTTTTGGGTTATGGTGTCATGATTACGTGTGTGAAGTAACTTGGTTTTGGTTATGGTATCATGATTACATATTCATATTCAAACTTATCTAATTGTATACATTTAATATGTACACATTTTTGCATGAATTACCAATGTTTTTACAGAAAAGCTGCATCTACTGTTTTTCCTTTTGTTTTCTGTTGATACATTCTATTTGTTTATATTTATAAAGTACATTGTAATGTTTTTTCTTAATTTTTAGTGTTTATTTTTACTGAATTTTTGTGCATTTCAACCAAAACATCTTAATCATATCTAGACCCCCCTGCCCCATCCACGCCCCCATACCCCTCCATAAGATTTCATTCAAGGTTTTGTACCTAGATAACCCTTGATGCAAGTTCATCCACTGGAGTCTAGTCAGCCTATCTGGAGTTAATTCCCTTAAAGAACTGGGGAAATAGACAGCAGGCCCCAACCTTAGCCAAGTCACATTGTAATGTTTTGATTCATGTATACATTGGGTAGTGATCAATCTAGGCTAATTAGCATACATTCCACTTTAAATTTTCATTATTCTTTATGAGATCTTCAAATTCCTGTTTTCTAACAATGTTGAGAAACACATAGCCTTATTGTTCATCATATTTACCATGTTGTGCTTTGGAGCATGAAAAATTCATTTCCCCTCTCAAGCAATAATAGTGTATCAGTTGACCAAACCCTTTACCTGTTTTCTCCATGTACTTTTCCATATAGTAACCCTCCTTCTACTCTCAAGTTCTATGAGAGGTACTTATGTTTCTGTATTGACTTATTTTACTTAACATTGTGTTACCTAGGTGCATCCACGTTGTCATAAAGGACAGTATTTTATGTTTTTTTAGAGCTGATTAGTAGTCTATTATGAATTTTATTCCATTTTAAAAACTCATTTGTCTGTTTGAAGACATTTAGGTTGGTTCCACATCCTGGCTATTTTGAATAGTGGTGCAGTAAACATAAAATATAGATATCTTTTTGATGGGGTAATTTCATTTTCTTTGGGCATATAACTAAGAGCAAGCCTACTGGATTTTTTAGAAGCTCTATTTTAAAATATCTGGTTGATTATTTTTTAACCTTTCCATTTATGACTTTGTTTTTGGTATCTTTCATCTCCATGGATAGAGCTGTAAAAAACTGTGTGGGGACTAAAATTTCCACTTGATAGATAACCATGATAAGGTTAATGTGATAACTCAGCAGAATATTTTTTTTTGTCTTTTCCAGTCAAATATTTTTCACTAATAGATTTTATTTTTGCTCTTAGCATTGCTTCTTCAACTTTGAAATATCAGGCTAGAGTAGAAAAAGATTAGCTTTCTCATTAACTTTGATGTATTTTATAAAATGAGACAAGCCTTTTATGTAGCATGCAACAGAAAAGAAGCTATAATTGCTAAGATACACTAGTAGAGCTTGAGTATGATCCAGATACTTAGCTTGCCAATTTGAATTTTAGTAATAAAGAAGATACCAAATTGAGTTTTCTGCATGAACTGTATGTGATAAAAAAAACGGTGACCTTACAAACAGTTCTAGCCAGTATTGTAAAAGGGAAAGATTTAGACTCCCCGTGTTACTATATTTGTAAGAAAGTATCCTGGTGCTTAAATTTGCCTCATTTAGGAATTATATGCTCCATTTTCAAGAATTTAATCAAAGCTGGGACAGAATGAATGTAGATGTCTTCAGCTTCAGTGTATTCAAGTCATGCTTAGCTTTGCTAGAATTGCAAAGAAAATTGAATTTCCTTTTCTCACAATGATTCATGAGATACCTGGTCAAAATTTGTTTCTATTTTCTGAGTACTCTCTTCTTTATTTCTTATGTCTTAGCTTTTGAGAAACCCATAGTTTTCCCTCTAAGTGTATGAATAATAAAATTTATATAAATCTTAAAGTATTAGATTGTAATTCATTTCAGAAGTCATACTAAAATATTTATTTATTTCCCATAAGGATAATGAGAAAAAAACTGTATTGGGGGGGCAGTGGCAACTGAACTTAAAGATCAAGGTCATTTGTGGAATTTAACTTATTTTACTTATCATAAATAATCAGAATTTTGTTGCCTTCCATCCAGATTTGCCCCAAACATAATATTAGAATTTATTCCCGTGTTTTGTTTTGGCATATGAATTTAATTCATTTATAAGTAATGATGGGAGGCTCAGGCTGGGATGGAGCTCAGTGGTAGAGTACTTACCTAGTTTATTTGAATAAACATCTATATTATTCAGGTTTCTGTTGCTATGATAGAAACACCGTAACCAAGGGAACTTATAAAAGGAAGAGTTTAACTTATGGTTCCAAAGTGGCAAGAGTGCATCATGGCGGGGAGGCATGGCAGCAGAGGTGGCTGGAGTAGGAGCAGAAGCTACATGCTCACATCTTCAAGGAGGCATGGGAAATAGAGCAAGACTGGATATCTCGCAAGGCTTAAGAAGTCTCAAAGCTCACCCCTAGTGACTTGCTTCCTCCAGCATGGACACATCTTCTAAGACCTCCCAAAACAACACCACCAACTGAGCAAAATCTCCAAATAATTGGAGCTTATGGAGGGCATTCTCATTCAAACCACCACAATATCTAAGTTCAAACCAATTACAGCTAAAATTTTGTTAGATATATATTTTGTGCCCCCAAAATGTGCTAT